TTCTCTGTTTGACTTGGCTGCCTCCCCGCTTGCATTCTGGGCTCGGCTGCTGGGCCTATAAATAGCCCAGGATCCGGTCTCCTCCGCAGCCTCCTCTACAGGGCGGGATTTGCATCCAATTAGCGATTCCTTGGCATCTCCAGCATTAACTGTAACCATTTTTAATTAACCCGATTTAGTGGCAGAATGCAACACTCATGAAAATGAGAGGTTGGAAGAAATAGTTATTTATTCCAGCACGGTGGTAATGACTGCCGAAATAGATGAGTCTAATTAATGGAAAAGAAGAGGCTTTGTTATGTTTAAAGGAAAAGCAGGCTCAATAGAGGTAGATGAAATCCATGGTTTTAGGGATGGATTCTTCCTCTGGGGATTGTGTGGTTGCTTAGAGGGTGGTCAGAAGTAAAATTAGAGTCAGCCCTCCACATTAGTAGGATTGGCTTTTCTGGATTTGATTATTCACACATTTTATTAGAAATCTCCAGGTCATCTATATAAATAAAAATGTAATGTTCGTTTGTGGGATTAACATAACTCAAAAACGACTGGACGAATCGAAACCAAATTTAGACACAATACACCTATCAGGCCAACGAGTGACCATCACTCGTAAAACACAACAGAAGTGACTTTAAAAAATCCAAGAAACAGAAAAAATACATTACAACACATGTGCAAAACCATATATATACCCAAACATATATATATATATATATATACACAAACATATATGCCGCTCTGAGTCGCCTCCGGGCTGATATGAGCAGGGTAGAAATAATGCAAATAAATCAATATACACATATTTTGTTGTATATTTTTAGCACATATACACAGACTGGGCCATAGCAACGTGTGGCAAGGCATGGCTAGTAGAATCATAGAATCCAAGAGTTGGAAGAGACCTGGTGGGCCATCCAGTCCAACCCCATTCTGCCAAGAAGCTGGAAAACTGAATTCAAAGCAACCCTGACAGATGGCCATCCAGCCTCTGCTTAAAAGCCTAAAAAGAAGGAGCCTCCACTACACTCTGGGGCAGAGAGTTCCACTGCTGAACAACTCTCTCACACAGTTAGGAAGTTCTTAGAATCATAGAATCAATCATAGAATCAAAGAGTTGGAAGAGACCTCCTGGGCCATCCAGTCCAACCCCCTTCTGCCAAGAAGCAGGAATATTGCATTCAAATCACCCCTGACAGATGGCCATCCAGCCTCTGCTTAAAAGCCTAAAAGAAGGAGCCTCCACTACACTTCAGGGCAGAGAGTTCCACTGCTGAACAGCTCTCTCACACAGTTAGGAAGTTCTTCCTGAAGTTCAGGTGGAATCTCCTTTCCCGTAGTTTGAAGCCATTGTTCCATTGCGTTCTAGTCTCCAGGGCAATAGAAAACAAGCTTGCTCCCTCCTCCCCATGACTTCCCCTCACATATTTATCCATGTCTCTCACCATGTCTCCTCTCTGCCTTCTTTTCTGAAGGCTAAACATGCCCAGATCTTTAAGCCTCTCCTCATAGGGATTGTTATCCAGACCCTTGATCCTTTGAGTCGCCCTCCTCTGGACATATTCCAGCTTAGAGTCAACATCTCCCTTCAATTGTGGTGCCCAGAATTGGACACAGTGTGATTCCAGGTAAAGTGGTCTGACTAAGAAGAGAGGGAGAGCATGACTTCCCTGGATCTAGGCACTAGACTCCTCTTTAAATAGGTTATAATCCCATTGGTTTTTTTGCCGCTGCATGACATTCCTGGCTCATGTTCATCTTCCTCCCCATGAGAACTCCAAGATCTTTTTCATATGTGCTGCTGTCAAGCCAGGCACCGTCCTCCATTCTGTATATTTGCATTTCATTTTTTCTGCCCAAGGTCTGCAGGATGTTGACCATAAAATATGGCTAGAAGAATGAGAGATTCCTGGAGAAGTCTTCTCTCAAGTTTAAAAAAGCATTTTTTATTTGTGATTTTTTACTTTCATTGGAATCCTGCGCTGCTAACCCTAATAAATATGGAGGACTGGTTGTACAAAAAGCAAACAAATGAAAAAACAAAAAAAAATGGGTTCTTGGCAGCAAGAACAGCAGATGAATCAGTCTAAAGACATGGAAGAAGATTTACACATTTGGCACCAAAGCTCCCTTTCCTTGAAACAAAACCAAGCAGTTTTTTGGCCATCTGTAGATATGAAGTTCTCCATCTACACTGCGAAGTTTCATCTTGCTTCTTTCCCAAAAGTGAAACATACACACATGTAGATGGGATTCAAGAATGAAGACCTTAGAGAAATGAAGATAGCATTTTATTTAATGACACAGAGCCTTTGGACTGAGACCTATAAGCTGAAGATCCACCCTAAACAAGAATTAAGCCAATGTTATTTGTGTTCTTTATTTGTTCAGTCACTTCTGACGTTCATGACCTCCCGGACCAGCTCAGGCCAGTACCTCCAGCTTCATCAAGGTCAAGCCAGTCTTTTCAAGGATAACATCCATCCATCTTGCCCTTGGTTGGCCCCTCTTCCTTTTTCCTCCCATTTTCCCCAGCATCATTCCCTTCTCTAAGCTTTCCTGCCTTCTCATGATGTGGCCAAAGTACTTCATCTTTACCTCTAATATCCTTCCCTCCAGTGAGCAGCCGGGCATTATTTCCTGGAGGATGGACTGGTTGGATCTCCTTGCAGTCCAAGGCACTCTCAGAATTTTCCTCCAACACCACAGTTCCAAAACGTCTATCTTCCTTCACTCAGCCTTCCTTATGGTCCAGCTCTCACATTCTTAGGTGACTATGGGGAACACCATGGCCTTAACTATGTGGATCTTCGTTGCCAGTGTGATGTCTCTACTCTCAACTATTTTATCGAGATGGGTCCTTGCTCTCCTCCCAAAAAGGATATGTCTTCTGATTTCCTGGCTGCAGTCTGCGTCTGCAGTTATCTTTGCATCTAGAAATGCAAAGCCTGACACTGCCTCCATTTTTCTCCTTCTGTTTGCCAGTTATCAATCAGTCTGGTTGCCATCATCTTGGTTTTTGTGATGTTGAACTGCAACCCAGCTCTTGCCCTTTCTTCTTTCACCTCTTCAGCTCCTCCTTGCTTTTGGCCATCTGCACATCTAAAGTGTTAAAGTTTTTTTCCCCAGCCATTTTAACTCCAGCTTTGTATTTGTCAAGCCTCACATGTTGCATGATGTGTTCTGCATCCAAATTGAATAGGTCAGGTGAGAGTATACAACCCTGCCGTACTCCTTTCTCAATCTTGAACCAGTCAGTTGTTCCGTGGTCTGTTCTGACTATTGCTACTTGGTTGTTGTAGATTTTTTCGGGCTATATGGCCATGGTCTAGAGGCATTCTCTCCTGACGTTTCGCCTGCATCTATGGCAAGCATCCTCAGAGGTAGTGAGGATGCTTGCCATAGATGCAGGCGAAACGTCAGGAGAGAATGCTTCTCCACCATGGCCATATAGCCCGAAAAAACCTACAACCCAGTGATTCCGACCATGATAGCCTTTGACAATATATTGCTACTTGGTCATTATAACCATTCCTCAGGAGACAGACAATGACTTGGTATCCCCAGACCACTAAGAACCTGCCATTTTATTTTTATTTATTTGTTTATCGTGTCATCAGCAACCATACCATCGTATTACAATTCTAACAGAGCAAAACAAACACACAGATTTTGCAAACTTGGTAGTTGGTTAAATGTCCTTTGACCAGTATCTGGCCACTTGGAGTGCCTCTGGTGTTGCCGCAAGAAGGTCCTCCATTGTGCATGTGGCAGGGCTCAGGTTGCATTGCAGAAGGTGATCAGTCGTTTGTTCTTCTCCACACTCGCATGCCAAGGATTCCACCCTGTAGCCCCATTTCTTAAGATTGGCTCTGCATCTCGTGGTGCCAGAGCGCAGTCTGTTCAGCGCCTTCCAAGTCGCCCAGTCTTCTGAGTGCCCAGGGGGGAGTCTCTCATCTGGTATCACCCATGGATTGAGGTGCTGGGTTTGGGCCTGCCACTTTTGGACTCTCGCTTGCTGGGGTGTTCCAGCGAGTGTCTCTGTAGATCTAAGAAAACTATTTCTTGATTTAAGTCGTTGACGTGCTGGCTGATATCCAAACAGGATGAGCTGGAGATGTCACTGCCTTGGTCCTTTCACTATTGGCTGCTACTTCCCGGTGGATGTCAGGTGGTGCAATACGGGCTAAGCAGTGTAATTTCTCCAGTGGTGTGGGGCTCAGATACCCTGTGATAATGCGGCATGTCTCATTAAGAGACACATCTACTGTTTTAGTGTGGTGAGATGTGTTCCACACTGGGCATGCATACTCAGCAGCAGAGTAGCATAGCGCAAGGGCAGATGTCTTCACTGTGTCTGGTTGTGATCCCCAGGTTGTGCCAGTCAGCTTTCGTATGATGTTGTTTCTAGCGCCCACTTTTTGCTTGATGTTCAGTCAGTGCTTCTTGTAGGTAAGAGCACGGTCCAAAGTGACTCCCAGGTATTTGGGGGTGTTGCAATGCTCCAGTGGGATTCCTTCCCAGGTAATCCTCCTGAGTGATAGTTTGTGCAGTTCAGACCAGGACAGGACAGCCTCTCCATTTCTGTCCTCTTGGGAGAACCTGCCATAATTTATCATGATCCACACAGGATTTGTATAAAAAGCAACAGTGGCAGCCACCTTGACTCACCTACAAGGAGCAAACGCTATTGCTAGACCATGCGTCCCCAAACTTGTTTATTGTGTCTCGCAGTGATGTCCTCACAGTGTTTTAGGGGATGGCTCAGAACGTTTTGTGCCTGTTTAATTTAGCTTGAAGCCTTACAATATTTTTCTGCATCCAAACTGACCTTTCTTAAGAAGGTCTTTACCTTACTTTGGCCTCATGTCCTTCCCACAAAGTCTTTCACCAACTCCTTGTCCTATTGTTACTTTCAGTGCCTGCAATGTGCCAAGCCTTCTCTGCAAATATTTGCTTTGCTTCTTTTTCCCAGTTTAACCCCCTTTGTCTTTTCTTTCCAGGTTACCCTGCAGGATACCCCACCGCTGCCCCAACTTACAACCCAAATATGTACCAGACCACCAGCCCCGGCTATGCCCCAGGTAAGCAGAGCTTTTGTTTCTGGAAACGGCGTAATCACGCTTGGCGCTTTGCAGAATCACATGCCATCCTTGATTGCATTTGAAGACACATATTGTGGCTGGCATGTGCGTGTCTGTGTAAGTGTGCTTTTCATCAGGTGTTTCATTTTCTCAGCACCGTAACCAGCACTGCAATAATCAACACGCCATTAGTTTTTGCAAAATGTGCCACGGAACATTTACCAGCACGTTATAAAGTCTGTTGTCAGGCGCATTTCTCATTAAGGATTGAAGTATTTTTGCACTCACTCCATAGTAGAACCAAGTGCACATAACAATGCTGTGCCATACCTTAAGCGTAGCTTTGCTTCATGGCTTATTACACTACATAACACGATTTTTGTTCCTGGATTATAAATGTCATTTCCTAATTGGTTCTATCATAACAACATGGGAAAAGTTTATTGAACTGCCAAAACTTTGTTATGGCGGGATGTCGTGCAGCACATTTTCCTATAGTTTTTCAATGAATATCTCATAGAGTTCAAAAGTATATGAAAGAACGAAAATATGGTCCGCAACCTCACCATTACTGCACTGTTGTCTCAAAACCACGCGGCAACAAGAGTGACCGGACTCACGAAACCCTCTTATAGTGCCAGGGCAACGGGGAAGTCAGGAGGGGAGAAGCTGACTACCCACAAAAGATTACTACTACCACATCAGCTCTACATAGAATCATAGAATTATAGAACCAAAGAGTTGGAAGAGACCTCATGGGCCATCCAGTCCAACCCCATTCTGCCAAGAAGCAGGAATATTCCATTCAAATCACCCCTGACAGATGGCCATCCAGCCTTTGTTTAAAAGCTTCCAAAGGAGCTCCTCCATCACACTCCGGGGCAGAGAGTTCCACTGCTGAACGGCTCTCACAGTCAGGAAGTTCTTCCTCATGTTCAGATGGAATCTCCTTTCTTGTAGTTTTGAAGCCATTGTTTCGCGTCCTAGTCTGCAGGGAAGCAGAAAACAAGCTTGCTCCCTCCTCCCTGTGGCTTCCTCTCACATATTTATACATGGCTATCATATCTCCTCTCAGCCTTCTCTTCTTCAGGCTAAACATGTCCAGCTCCTTAAGCCGCTCCTCATAGGGCTTGTTCCCCAGACCCTTGATCATTTTAGTCGCCCTCCTCTGGACACATTCCTATTTTCCCAATATAGAATCATAGGAATGTGTCCATAGATTATTTAATATAGCTTTTCATTGGCAAGCAGATGGTGACTATTGGATGGTATATGTTCTGTATGAGAAATTGAGCTGATGTGGTCTATCCAATGTAATTTTCTGAATTGGCACTCCAAGTAACCAAACCAAATCGAAAGTTGACTAGAAACTGATTCATGACTCTTTTGATACTAACGTTTGTGAGTGGTCCCTGATCAAAGTGGTCCCTGGGGGAAAAAAGGTTGGGAACCACTGGTCTAAACCAACCAACCAGTTTGCTACCAGTCACAATTTAAAGTGCTGGATTTGGCCTATAAAGCCCTAAACGGCCCCGGCCCAGTTTATCTGTCGAAACACATCTCCTTCTATGAACCATGATGGAGATTAAGATCCTCCAGGGAGGCCCTGGTCTCTGTCCCACCACTGACACAGGCACGACTGGCGGGACGAGGGGGAGGGCCTTCTCAGTGATTGCCCCTCAACTTTGGAACTCCCTTCCTGGTGAAATTGGAGCAGCCTCTTTCCTCCTGTCCTTCAGAAGAATGATAAAAGCTTGGCTGTGGGACCAAGCCTTTGGGACAGTGCAATAAGGCAGCCATAGGAAACCTTATTATGCCATCCAAATTTGATGCGGATGATTGGAGTTTAACATCAAGATAAATGATTTTAACGTTTATGTATCTGCAGGGTCTATTTATGTCCAGCATTGAATGTCTGCTGTTTATATGCTGTGCTTCTCCCTGATTCCCCTTAGGGCTGAGAAGAGCGGAATATATATACATCTATATAAATAAAAATATAATGTTCGTTTGTGGGATTAACATAACTCAAAAACCACTGGACGAACTGACACCAAATTTGGACACAATACACCTATCAGGCCAACGAGTGACCATCACTCATAAAAATACTGAAAAACACAGCAGAAGAGACTTAAAAGGCCATAAAAACAAAAAAAAATACCTTACAACACATGCGCAAAACTACATATATATACGCAAACACACATATACACATATACATACACTGGGCCACAGCAACTTGTGTTAGGGGATGGCTAGTGTTTTAAATAAATAAATAAACCAACCTAATTTGTAGCAGCCACAAAAATGAAGTTTCTGGAGTACAACAACTTCTTTCAAAGTTTGGACCGCAGAATTAAACAGGAAATAACACTTTCAAACCAGGAACAGAAAATGTTTCAAGTTTCGTTACATAATGTACAAATATATCTATAGCTGATGACAAAGTACCGACACTTCACAAAGTTTGTATCCATTTCATTTTAGGATTGTTCCCACTTCTGTCTCATAGTTCAGAATCACCGCAAGTCTTTAGAAAATGGCAAATTTGGTTTACTGTGTTTGACGTTGTTAAATGTAGTTTGTTTTCCGTATTGCGTCTGGTTTCTGGGATACATAGTGTTCAGTTGAGCTTGGGTGCTTGCATTCCCAGCTGTGTTTTGACTAAAAACAGAGATAAAGAAATGGGGACTTTGGTGACCTTGAACGGCCTCCTCAAACAAATCTCCTTGTTGCATGCTATACTTCCTTAGCCATGTTATCTTCAAATCCTCTTCCTTTGAAGGCAGGTATGTCTTCTGTGGCCATGCTGAGCTCACACACTTGTTGCATTTCTCTAGGAGTTTGAGTCCCAGGCTGGTTTAGCTGGCTAATCTTCCACTACAAAGTAATTCCTTTTTGTGGTGTGAGAGTTAATTCTGCAGTGACAGGAGTCTAGTGCCTAGATCAGAGCTTTCCAGACACTTCATGTTGGTGACACATGTCGTAGACATGCATCATTTCGCAACACAGTAATTCAGTTTTGCCAGCAATCCAGAGGTTAAATCAGCCCCTTATAAGAAATACAGGCACACACATAAATTTTAACAACAAAATGAATGGGGACACGACATATCTTATGGAAATGTTTCTCTCCCATATATATAGATATAGATATAAATATATACATATTAGCTGTGCCCACCACGCGTTGCTGTGGCCAACCTTCCCTCCCTCGTTCTCTCCTTCTTTCCCTCCTTCCTTCGCTCCCTCTTTCCTTCGCTCCTTCCCTTTTTTCTTTCCTTCTCTTTCCTTCCTTCTCTACCTCTTTCCTTCCCCCTTTTTCTTTTCATCCCTCTTTTTCTCCTTTTTTCCTTCTCTACCTCTTTCCTTCCTTCGCTCTTTGCTTCCATGCTTCCTTCTCTCTGTCCTTTTTTCTTCTCCTCCCTCTTTCTCTCCTTTCTTCCTTCTCTACCTCTTTCCTTCCTTTCCTTTTTTCTTACTTTCTCTTCCTTCTCTACCTCTTTCTTTCCTTCCCCCTTTTCTTTTCATCCTTCTTTTTCTCCTTTCTTCCTTCTCTACCTCTTTCCTTCCTTCACTCTTTGCTTCCATGCTTCCTTCTCTCTGTTCTACTTTCTTGCCCTCCCTCTTTCTCTCCTTTCTTCCTTCTCTTCCTCTTCCTCTTTCCTTCCTTTTCTTTTTTCTTATTTTCTCTTCCTTCCTTCTCTACCTCTTGCTTTCCTTCCCTTTTCTTTTCATCCTTCTTTTTCTCCTTTCTTTCTTCTCTACCTCTTTCCTTCTTCACTCTTTGCTACCATGCTTCCTTCTCTCTGTCCTTCTTTCTTCTCCCTCTTTCTCTCCTTTCTTTCTTTCTTTCTTTCTTTCTCTCCTTTCCTCCCTCTTCCTCCCCTTTTTTCCTGTATTTTCATTTAGCTTTTTGGGGTTTTAAGTCCTTTCCACTTTTGGGGGGGGGGAGGTTATGAGTGATGGTCACTCATTGGACTGTTAGGGGTATAGTGTCCAAATTTCGTGTCACTTCATCCAGTGGTTTTTGAGTTATGTTAATCCCACAGATGAACATTACATGCATGCATGCACGCACACACACACAGATATATTATCTATTGCCTTTTTCACATAGACTCAGAGAGGTTTCTTGTTACTTTCAGTTGACATGCCTACATAATGCAGCAGACACTCTTGTTGGAAATAGCAACCTTCTCAAGCCTTCTCTATTTGATGTTTGTCTCTTTATAATATGTCGTTTTATTTCCTGAAATGTATGTCTTATTTGGTTTGCAGTTTACATACTTGATGCAGTGGGATGGGCTGCAGATCACGTGACTGTTTAGAATGCATTGTAAACATGATGACATGTTCCTTAAGTGGCATCCTGACATTTCATTAAAAATGTGTGATTCAGACTGTGGCAGCTTTTCTTCTGCCACTTGGTGACGTTTTCTTCATGTCCTCAGTGTGAGAGAAGCACCATTCTTTTCTTATCTTGTCTGTTATTTTAAGAGCATGTTTCATAACTTTGGAGGTCACAGAACTGGATGCAATGAGACCGGGGAGTTTCAGGCTGGCAGTGTTTGGATACTCTCTCATGGGGACAGCTCTCATACATTAAGAGGGCAGACGGAGTATATCCGAGTCTTGCTTCTAAGTAACAGTGAGAAGGAATAGGGTTCATTCATTTTTTGTTCATTTATTTTGTTTATATTATTATTATTATTATTATTATTATTATTATTATTATTATTATTGTCGAAGGCTTTCATGGCTGGAATCACTAGGTTCTTGTGGGTTTTTTCGGGCTATAGGGCCATGTTCTAGAGGCATTTCTCCTAGAACATGGCCCTATAGCCCGAAAAAACCCACAAGAACCTAATTATTATTATTTATCATGTCAGGAGCAAACCAAACAGTTCTTTATTTGTCGTGTCATGGCAACCAGTCAATTATATTACATTTCTAACAGAACAAAGCAAACAAACAGACAAAATACAGAATTTGTG